AATTAGTTGTGTTTATAGAGCACCAGGATCATGTATTGGGACATTTAATGAAAACAAATTATTGAACTGGTTGATCACATTAAATACAAAACATTATTTCTATGTGGGGACTTTAATATTAATTTAGAACATGAGGCTGGACAGATAACTAAGGATTTTGCAGATTCACTGTATAGTGTAGGTTTATTTCCCTTGATAAACAAGCCAACTAGAATTACATCTCGGACTGCAACGACCATTGATAATATATTCACTAACAATAAGGATGATGTCAGGAAAACAGGGATATTAATGACGGATATTAGTGACCATCTACCCGTTTTCGCAGTCTTCAAATACAAACATTTCATGAAACAAAACATCACCATGAACTACAGAAGAGATAAATCAGTTAAAGCCATGGAGGCATTAAACAAAGATCTTAATAAACAAAATTGGAAGGAGGTATATGTCAGTGATGTCAATGCTGCATACACATACTTCATGAAAATACTGTTGAAGTCATATAATGATAATGAATCAAATCTACAGGTAAAACGGAAAATCTACCTTGGATGACTAAGGGATTAAAGAACGCGTGTGCAAAAAAGTACGGAAGCGTATTACCGTCAGTGCAGGGAAAAAAACTCAGGACCAGGATCGCGTAATAACGAGAAATGTTCTCGTTAAAACGCGATATAAAACACGTTCAAACGAGAAAGTTTCTCGTTATTACGAGATCCTTTCTTGTTAAAATTAGAAACTTTCTCGTTAAAACGTGATTTATATCACGTTTTAACGAGAACTGTTTTTCAAAATAACGTGTTCTATAACTTGTAATAATGACATGATTAATAAAGGTAAAACGGCGACATCTCGCGGGATGTTTGAGTCTCGTCAGGAAGAAACGGATGGAGACTCCAATGGAACCACTTTTTGCCTTTTTAAGTCAACGTAACTTGTCTGAGGAATGTATTACTGCAATGAGGAGAGACAAAGTAGGTGACACATTTTAGACGCGTACCTACCTGAAATTAGAATCGATTTAACACAGTTCTATGTTACTGAATGTATCTGCAGTGTGGTGCCGACTACTGGTAATAATAACACCCAGTTTTAAATGACATTTACTTGTATTTTACCCATCTAAGCCTAATGTATTCATAACCTATGCTTGTTATAATGATTATTCATACGTTTATTCACTTTTCATTGTGTGGCACAACAGAGCAGTAACTTCAGAACATTCTATTAGCCTTCACGAGCAAGTTAATGACAGCTGCCTTTATCAGCGCCATAAATTAATCCAGTCAACTACTGGCATGCTTTAATAGGTAAATATTTGATTTTATACTAATCTGTGCTCAGTGTGTTGAAAACATATGTTAATTCATTAAAAAAACAACTGTAAAAGGTAAAAATAACTGCTTTATTTACAGATTTGCATCTCTGAGGCTGAATGCATGGATGACAGCTGTCCAGCTCATCTCCAGTGATCTGATTCTAACCTCAAGACTTTGGGAGGAATAAGAAAACCACGACGGTATTCATGGATGCAGACAGGGAACGATTGCATTCCCTTATTAGGGCATACTTTTCATTAGGGTTAAAACATCAAGAAATTTTGCTGTCACTCAGCGCTGTTGATGGAATAGTGATCAGCCTCCGGACACTTCAAAGGATTATGTCAACACTGAGGCTTCACAGAAGAAAAAACAAAAGTGACATTCTTGATGTTGCATTATTTCTTGTAGAACAGCTACAAACATTTGGAAAACTACATGGATACAAACTGCAACACCTTAGATGCATACAGGAGGGCTTTGTTGTCACTCAGAGTACAATAAGACATTTGTTGAAAATTCTGGATCCCAGAGGGGTGGAGTTGAGGCAGCGCAATCGCCTCAGGCGTCGACTGTACCACAATCCTGGACCAAACTTTGTTTGGCATGTGGATTCTTATGATAAACTGAAGCCATATGGAATTTGTATCAATGGGGCAGTGGATGGTTTTTCCAGGATGGTTATTTGGCTTCATGCATACTCCACAAACAGTAATCCCAAAGTTATTGCTGGATATTTTATTTCAGAAGTTGAGAAAAGAAGGGGCACTGCAACCAGAATACGTACAGACATGGGGACAGAGAATGGCACAATGGAGGACATACAAAGATTTTTACGTCTTGATCATGATGACAGCTATTCCATAAACTGCTTCATTGTAGGATCCAGCAACCACAACCAGCGTATAGAGAGCTGGTGGGCTTTCTTAAGGAAACATCATGCACAGTACTGGATGAACCACTTTCAAAAACTGAAGGATTCAGATGACTTCACTGGTGACTTCTTGGATAAGCAGCTGGTTCTTTTTACTTGTTTGAACATCATTGAGGTGTGTTTGAGTTTAATAGTGATACATAATGTATAAGGAAGGATGTGCACTTAAGTGCATAATACGGTATGTACTTAAAGACGTTTCTTTGCTTGTTTTTCAGGGAGAACTCCAAAACGTTGTTCATTTATGGAACACCCACATCATCCGTCGGAGTAGAAATGTCACTGCTCCAAGTGGCCGACCCTACATGATGTACACACTTCCACAGATTTTTGGTGGACAGAATTATCTGAGGCAGGTTTCTGATCAAGCAGTGGAAACTTGTAAAGTACAATGTCTTCAGAGAGGACCATACCCATGTGATGAGACAGTGTTTGAACTATCCTGCATTCTGATGGCAGAAAACTTTCTACATGCACCCTCCACACCTGATGAAGCAGTTGAATTGTACTTATTTTTAAGAGCTTGCATACGTACAAATTTATGACGCTTGTGATATTAGCTTTTTTTAAAAAGGAAATTTTGCCCTGCAAAGGACTGGTCATGTGCCTATGGTGGCTCCACCCCTTGCCTGCAGACAGTTGGTGATAGACACATCTCCACAAACTAAAGGATGTGCAGTCAAGAAAATTGGTGGAAAATAAAATAAAATGTTTCCTGCTTTTCATCAACTTATATGTATATTGCTTTAAATTAGACCCTCACATGCACCTACTGATTTCATCATGATGTAAGAATGTTGCTGCTCAGCTTGATGTTGGAGAATTCTTGTTGCATATGACAAGAAAAATGTCGGGACATAAATGGAGAATTAACAAAATACAATCCTACCTTTACTCACTGCTCGGTATATATTCTAAATATAATTTTCATTATTTATAAAAGCAAGACTTTCCTGTTCTCTGTAACTGAACACTGAAATCAGTTATAAACTGTGATGAATATGATTTGGGTATGGTAAAATGAGCTGAAAAATAAAGTGTCACTCCTTTGGTAAACACTTGAGTTTTATTTGAACAATCTCTGTGAAAAATGCATTTTCAAAAATACAGTAAACATTTTTTTCCTCTAAAATGTAACAGTAAAGGAATGTGGAGGAACATTAACATGACATAGTAACGTGCATTAAACAAATGCTCTGAAATATCCTTTTGGATGGAGGTTTTCCCTCAAGAAGAATCACTAAAAGGTGAAAATACAAATCTCAAAATTGAACATGAGAAAAAACTTAAATACACATCAAAAACAATTTTAAAGTAAGTCTAATGTGAATCTGGACTTCATTATGCTCAATACATTACCTCAGAAAGGAATATAAAAGAAAAATTATGCTCTTTCCAAAAACATGACATAAAAATAACTGAGATTTACAGCATGTTTTATATTGTTTAACTCAAAAAAAATCTTAAGATCTACTGCAATATGACCCCTTAAACTAGTTATTTATGTGTTATTATTTTTTTTAACTTTCTGGCAGCAATAAGAAAAACGTATTCATGCTATAGTTGTGCATTGCCTTTGTTTGTGTTCCTGACATAATCTTGCCTTTATTTTCCTGAGTGAAATGCAAATTTTCCTTTTGAACTTCGTAGCATACTGATAACACCTGAATCAAAACATTTTAGATATGTTGGTGCACATTTTTTCCATTAAAAATTTGCCTTTTTGGCATGGAAAAGATCTTAACATGATATTTATCTTCAGTCTCACACAATGTCCATGTCAAAGCACCTTTGGCTGCTCAGTATGCTGTCAAACTCCACACGCAGCTCTGGGAAAGACAGGTAAGTCCAAGGTAGCTCCAAGACTGGACCACATGTATGCGCAACAGGCCGTCGTGCTACTCCATCTAAAGATGTGAAGAGAACTTCAATGTTTTTAATACAAAGCACATCTGAGCCAGTGGTAAATCGCAGAAACTTTCTGAGGCCTGCCTGATCCAGTCCTCTCACATACTGCTGTAAGTACCTCAGACTCTGGCTCTCAGCTTGTGTAGCAGGACTCGCTTCAAATAACTTAAGAACCTTTCTCGCTGTAGGTTTCATGTTCTCATACATTTCTACAATATTCAGTTGGCTTCTGAAGGCATGTGCAAATGTTGTTCTTGCAACTTGTGACATTTTATCAAGAGCATACTTTGGCTGTTGAATGATAAGCTTATGTGCAACATTTAAAAGCTCAGCTTTCAAGTTTTCTCTTGTTGGAATTGATTTAGCACCCATACGATCTAATAGGTCAATCAGTTCATCATGTTCATCACCGAGAAGATCATCCAGTAAAGCCTTGTTCACAAGATCCCTTTCTTCTGGACTGATGTAAGAGAGGAGAGACTCAAACAGTAAGTCAGGTGACACTGAGTGTTCCCCAAAAACCAACGCCACTGTGAAAGCTGGAGCAAGACGGCAAGGAAAATAGCCATGATCCTGAAAACCCTTAACAAGAATGCGTCCAACTGATTTCCATTCTTCTTCCTGCCACTTTGGTGTAAGTAATGGAACTCTCATGTCCTGCCCTTCAGCAAGACAATCCAAAAACTCTGTCCAGAAAGCTGAATAGACATCTCTGGAAATGCCATCAGCATCTGCTCCCTTCTCATCTATGAAAGTAAATTTCAAAGGGTAGGTGAGTATGTTGGGATCTTTGAACTGTGTGATTAGTTCATCCATAAGCTTTGTCCTATGAAGTATAATGCTGACATTAACAACTTCAAATCCAGACTGCTCAGTGTTCCTGTGTGCTTCGCTAACTGAAGAACTGACATTAGGTGCAGGTAGCATAAATGTATGTGTAGGTTGCTCTGTTAGACTGGAAGTAGATGGCAGTGTACTGATTGTTAAAGGCTGACTGTTTGGATTTGCCAGGTTATGGGCAGATGATGGTTGACCAAGAATCACAAAGTTTCCTTCATCATTTGACAGATTGGACAAAACAAATACTGGGCCCATATCAGGAGGTGCAGGATTCTCAGTGGGAGTAGATGTAGATGGTGCAGAGTTGTTTGAGAAAGACTGGTTTACAGGACTCACAAAGTTCTGGGAAGTTGATGGTAGATTAAAACACACAGATTCCCCTTCATCATCTGATGAAAGGGCCAGAGTGGCGGCAAGTTGCCATGCCTGAGGTTCACCGGTGTAAGGTCCTACCATAACCTCAGAGGAGTTAGATGACTCTGAGAAGTTGTTTTTTTCTTCTGGTTCATCGTTCTCCACTCTTTCATCTGGCACATTGATGAGTTCTGTGATTGTCAGTTCTTTCCGTTCCTTTGTGCAAAGATAAAATCTTAAAATTCCCATTTTCAGCAGGGAATAAAGTTCTCCTACTGTCATGTCTTCTTCTAAAATGTCATCCTCTTGATAATCTAAAATATTACAAGTGAAATCTTCCAGTTTTCCCTTTTTAGATTGTCCATTTGGAAAAAACAGCTCCTTTGCAATGCTTAAAATATCAGATTTTTTGGCTTCTTTTGGCACATCCACTCTCCTCGTTCCTCCTCCATTTTTCTTGCGTTGTTGCTTGCCTTCATGTATCCATCCTAACTCAACCTTTCTTGTCTTTCTCACAGCCAGCTTGTTATTCCTTAAATAGGCTTTAGAGTGTTTACGAGTTGAATATGATTCTTCTTGGTCCGACTCCTCTTGATTTTTGTCAATTCCCATCTTTCTTCTGAGTTTTTGAAGCAGTGTCTGTCGCTGCACATCTCTCTCACCTTTTCTTTGGTACTCTGAGCAGAATCTCCGTGTGGCAATCCTGTCACCATAGATGGGAATGTAGGTGGCCAAGCTGTTATCATCCATGCTTGCAATAGCTGATACGTCAATCTAAAATCACAATAAAATTGAAATTATTTCTAAATAAAATAAAACAAAATAAACAGTTTTAAATAACACATATTTGCTGAACTTTATAGCACAATTTGATACATTATATATTCTCCAAGAGCAAAACAATAAATATATTATTTTACTGTGTGTGTTCCTTCTAGAGCTTTGTCATTTCTACACAATGGACAGGAGTTACCTTTTCTAAATATCAGAAGCTGAAGACTAAAATGTTACATTTATCCATAAAAACATATATTTTTTTAGATTTTCGTAATTTATAACGTTCTGAAGTTACTGCTCTGTCGTGCCACACAATGAAAAGTGAATAAACGTATGAATAATCATTATAACAAGCATAGGTTATGAATACATTAGGCTTAGATGGGTAAAATACAAGTAAATGTCATTTAAAACTGGGTGTTATTATTACCAGTAGTCGGCACCACACTGCAGATACATTCAGTAACATAGAACTGTGTTAAATCGACTCTAATTTCAGGTAGGTACGCGTCTAAAATGTGTCACCTACTTTGTCTCTCCTCATTGCAGTAATACATTCCTCAGACAAGTTACGTTGACTTAAAAAGGCAAAAAGTGGTTCCATTGAAGTCTCCATCTCTTCTCCCTCCGTTTCTTCCTGACGAGACTCAAACATCCCGCGAGATGTCGCCGTTTTACCGTTATTAATCATGTCGTTATTACAAGTTATAGAACACGTTATTTCGAAAAAATGTTCTCGTTAAAACGTGATATAAATCACGTTTTAACGAGAACATTTCTCGTGATTACGAGAAACTCTTCCTGAGTTTTTTTTCCCTGCACTGACGGTAATACGCTTCCGTAAAAAAGAATAATTTATATAGGATTTTTTTAATTGCAAACAAGGGAAGCAGAAGATAAATATAAAAAATATAAAAATAAATTGGTAACAATAATTAGGAAGCAAAAAAAAAGATTATTATGGTAATCTATTGAATCAGAATAAAAATAACACAAAAGCTACTTGGGGAATAATAAACAGTATGACTAACAAAGAGAAAACAAAATCCAGTATTCCAAATCACTTTGTCGAGGACAAAAGAGATATTTTATATTGATAAAGAAATCACTGATGAGTTTAATGATTTTTTTGTAAATGTAGGTAGGAGTTTGATGGAGAACAAACCAAATAGAAGATAAATTGACCACAATGACTAGTACTGTCAATAGTATTGTCCTTTGCAAAATAGATAAAGAAGAAATACGAAACATTGTAAAAAACTGTGGAAACAAACGATCAACCGATTATCAGGACCTGGACATGATAACTGTTACCATCTTGCCACAGGAGTCCCCCAGGGCTCTGTGCTAGGACCTCTTCTCTTTGCCATATACACCACCTCACTGGGTGAGATCATTCGATCAAATGGCTTCTCCTCACCATTGCATTTCCTTTAACTTGTCAGTTTCTGCGTCCCCACCTCCTGCTCGCCGTTTGGTTAGTTCTCGTTTTCTTAATGAGAGCACAGCTAGCAATTCTTCTGCTGCTTTTGATCCACCCTGTTCTTCTGATAACGACCCAGATTCCTTAACTTCTCAGTTCAACGAGCACTGCCTCTCCATTCTGGACAACATCTGTCCTGTCAGAACCAGATCAGTTCCTGCAGTGAACCCTACTCCCTGGTTCAATGACAGCCTTCGCAGCCTGAAGCGCCAATGCAGAAAAATTGTGCGTTTGTGGAAGAAAACCCATCTCCACGTCCATCTGCTGCACCTAAAGGATCTTCTGACATCCTTTAACTCTGCAGTCAGAGACGCTAGGGTTTCCTATTTCTCCAACCTGGTGTCCCAGAGCAAAGGGAACCCCAAGGTGCTGTTTACCACCATCAGCAGCATCGTCTCTCCTGCCTCTCCTACAGCCTCCATCCACTCTGTTGCAGACTGTGAGAACTTTCTGTCTTTCTTTGTGGACAAAGTCAATAAGGTTAGATCTAGCATCTCTCCTTCAGCCTTATCGCCGCCTCTCCCGACTCCAACCAGGCCCATCATCCTAGATAGCTTTGCTCCTGTTTCTTTGCCTGAGTTAACCAAACTAGTTAACTCTATGAAGACCTCTGCATGCCCCCTCCACATCTTACCCTCATCTTTGCTTAAAAGTGCTTTTCAGTCTATCGGTCCCAGCGTGCTCTCTATAATTAATGCTTCTCTGGTCTCTGGTCAGGTCCCTGCTTACTTTAAGAACGCTGTAATCCACCCGCTTCTTAAAAAACCGAGTCTCGACCCCTCTCTCCATAGCAGCTTCAGACTCATCTCTAAACTTCCGTTCATCTCCAAGATCTTGGAAAAGGTTGTGGCTAAACAACTCACAGCTGCTCTTGATGAACATAACATCTATGATAGCTTCCAGTCAGGTTTTCGTAGAGCTCATTCTACTGAAACAGCTCAAGACTGAGATCCTCATCTGTGCCCCAGACAAGCTGGTTCCCAAAGTCAGAGACTCTCTTGGTCAGCTTGCTTCTCACACCAAACCTTCTGTCAGGAATCTTGGCGTGACCTTTGACCCAGCTCTCACCCTGGATTCTCATGTCAGTTCTCTTGTTGGCTCTTCCTTCTTCCATCTCAGGAACGTTGCTAAGCTGAGTCCCATTCTGTCCCGCTCTGAACTTGAGACAGTTCTCCACACCTTCATCTCCTCACGCTTAGACTACTGTAACTCTCTTTTCACGTGTCTGAGCAGAACCTCCCTGAACCGTCTACAGGTGGTTCAGAACGCCTGTGCTCGGCTTCTGACCAAGTCCTCCAAACACACCCACATCACCCCGCTTCTCCTCCAGCTTCACTGGCTGCCAGTCAACTTCAGGGTTCATTTCAAGATCCTGGTTCTGGTCTATAGGGCCTTACATGGATAAGCACCATCTTACATTGGTGATCTTCTTAGTCCCTACACCCCCAGCAGGTCCCTGAGGTCCAGTGATCAAAGCCTACTGGTTGTGCAGCACCAGGCTAAAGACCAAAGGTGACAGATCATCTGCTGCTGTGGCCCCCAGACTCGGGACCTCTCTCCCCCTGAGCCTGAGATCAGTGGACTCAGTGGTCTCCTTTAAAAAGCAGCTGAAGACTCACTTGTTCAAGCTGGCTTTTGTATGACCTTCTTCACCTCTCTCTCTTTATTCTGCTCTCCCCACCTATTCCACCTTCGTCAGGATCCACTGGTTTCCCTCTTTCCTGTTCACTCTCTCTCTTTCTTAACATTTTTTCTTTTAAATCCCAATTGCCTATTTTTGCTCATTTTAAATATATTTTTAAACATTTTCTAAATGCTTTTTTATATTTTAATTTTTTTGTTTTTGTGAAGCGCCTCGTGATTTTTATCTAGAGAGGCGCTATAGAAATTATATTTTCTTCTTTTCTTTCTTCTTCCTACCACTGCTATGCAGACGACACCCAGCTCTATCTGTCATTTCCACCGGACGACCACACTGTCTCTGCACAAATATCAAACTGTCTCTCTGACATATCAAAATGGATGAAATCCCACCATCTCCAACTCAACCTCTCTAAAACTCATTGAACCATTCACTTACATTTGTAATCTATCACTTTCTACTAGAAATTTTCCTGATTCAATGAAAACAGCGAAAGTCATTCTTTTGTACAAGAGTGGTGATAAACATAGTTTCAAAAATTACAGGCCGGTGTCACTGCTTCCACAGGTTTCTAAAATATTGGAAAAAGTATTTGCATCAAGGTTGGATAAATTCATTGAAAAAAATAATATTTTACACAATGAACAATATGGGTTTAGAACTAAACTTTCCACAGCAATGGCAATGATGGAATTAACGGATGAAATATTGACAGCAATTGACAATAAAAATGACTTTGTTAGTGTTTTCATTGATTTGAAAAAAACTTTTGACGTCACTGATCACTCAAGGTTACTTCGAAAATTAAGTCAGTGTGGAATAAGAGGTGTGGCTCATCAATGGGTTAGAACTTATTTAGAAAAAAAGGAAACAGTTTGTTCATATAAAGGACCATAAATCAAAACTGTGTGAAATTAATTGTGGAGTGCCACAAGGGTCAGTCCCCGGACCAAAACTGTTCATTTTGTTTATTAACGACTTGGTAAATGTATCTAAGACACTCGGTACCATTCAATTTGCAGATGATACAACACTGTTTTACTCAGGATCAAATATTGAGGAGGTGGCTAAAGTGATAAATGATGAACTGATTAAAATTAAAAACTGGTTTGATATAAATAGATTGACACTGAATCTTAATAAAACAAATTTTATACTGTTTAATGATAAAAAGAACAGTGATGTGTCATTGGAAGTAGATGGGTTTGAAATTCAGAGAATAAAAGAAATTAAATTTCTTGGAGTTCTTATTGATGAAGACTTGTCATGGAAATCCCATATTAGTTACATAAAAGGTAAAATTGCCAAATCCTTAGGAGTATTACATATTGGGGATGAGCGAGTACACCACTATCTGTATCTGTACTCGGAATGGGCATGGCATAACCCGAAAGTGGGCATGGTTTAACTGGAAGTGGGTGTGGTTTACATCAAGTCTGAAATTGATATGGAATGATCAGAAGTTGCTATGTGTATTGTTTATTTGAAAACTATTTACAGAGCAGCCATGGAATTGAGATTAAATATTTTTGATCACAATAGTAAAGGAACTATTACAGAACAAGTTTTTCAATAAAATCAGAACATTAATATTTAAGTGCATGGATTAATACATCTGAACTCATGCAGTAGGAACTAGGAAATATGAAATGCTAGAACCAGACACAACTTTATGTATATTTTTTTATTTTAATTTGATTAAACTGATTTTTTTCTTAACGTTCTTGGCATTTCGCCCCACACAAAGTTAAACAAAACAATGTTGATTAAGGTGTGTGTGTCTGAGAGAGATACAGAGAGGGTGAGAGGGAGAGAGATGGAGTTAAAAAAATAAAAAACCCGACCGGAGCGGAGGTAGCGAGTAACTGATGC